GGAAATCTTTGTTCTTTGAATACAGTAGCAATAACAGATCTAACCATAAAGTAACTGTTTTATGGCTCGCAGAAAAAAAGGAGAATATCTTTAAAAATTTTAATGTGGGTTTGTAATTAAGAGTCGAACCATGCACTCTGCATACATTGATGCTTTGTAGTAGACAATTTGAAAGCCATCACACATTAAAAAATGTTCTGTATTTTACCAGGCAACTGAAAGTGCCTTCATCTTCTTCTTTATCATATGAAGCAGAAGCTGAAGCTGGGTTGTTCTGAGCAGATTTTGGAGCATGGAGAGGGGAATGTGCCACTGCGGAGCAGAAAACACACCACTAGTGGTGTGCGTGAATGGGGTGCAGCTGAGCAGATTCACAAAAACAGGAGCTGCTCAAAGGAGCAGGAGCAGTTTGTGCGTTGAGAGTGGAGGAGAGGGAGTGTTCTGCTGTCACAGCAGGAGCAGAGTGTGTGGAGAGCGGTGGAGAGCGGGTGCCCATCTGTGTGGCTGCTAAGGTGAGAATACTGTAATTGCTTGGGGGATACTGTGCACTGGGGGTTCTTTATAATAACTTAGGGCAGGAAGGAGGAAGACCTGTATGTGGGTGAAGGCATGGAGGAAGCCCTGACAAGCACTGCAAATATTTACAAGGCATTGTATTACCAGACACTGTTAGTATTGCTGAGCACTGTATTACTAGGCAGTATAAGTACTGTGGGGTACTGTGAGAATTGCTGTGCAATATAATATTGGGCACGGTGAGTAGTGCTGGCCGCTGTTTGAGCACCGGAGATTAATTACAAATCATAGGGAGAAGGCTAAGGTATTAAATACATTCCTCTCCTCTGTATATACTTATGAAAAATTGGATATATATTAAAGTGACATTAAAGCCAAATTCTTTTCCCCTCCCCCCCCATGTAAATGTTAGCACTTACCTCAAATGATGTCTCTTATTCTGATCCTCCTCTTCTTTCCCCATGTTTTCAGGTGTCCCTCCAGCGGTGCGACATCACTCCGATCCAGCGCTGACTGCTCTGTCTCTCCGATCCAGCGATGTCTGCAGGCGGGTGCACACGTCCATAGACTTACCTTGCGTCTCTGCTCGTCTCCCGGCCGAGAATCGGAACTGCTCATGCGCCCGCGCCAAGATCCTTTGCGGCCCTACGATCACTTCCTGATTCTCGGCGCGGGAGCGAGCAGCGATAACGAGGTAAGTTTAAAACCAGTTCAAGCGGGGTTTTTTTTTTTTTTTTAAACTTCTTGCCTATATCTGTTTAGAACCCCTTTAATGGATAAAACAAGAATGTGAGAAGCTTTGTGCATAATATAACACAGTTGTTGACAGTAGTCGGAGTTCAACAAAGGCTAGAAAAGTTTAATGCAAATAAATTCTGAGGACTAGATAACTTTCACCCAAGGGTACCCAAAGAGTTCAGCAAAGTTATCACAAGACCAATGTTCCTAATTTTCAGGGATTCTATAGCAACTGGAAAGGTACCACCTATATTCAAAAAAGGTTTAAGATGCCTACTTGGGAGCATCAATAGTATGCAGATTTCTTGAGGGATTGATAAAGGACTATCTACAAGATTTTGTCTGTGGTAATGGTGTCACAAGTATCAACCGGCATGAATTTATGAAAGACCGTTCTTGTCAGACAATCCTACTAACATTCTATGAAGAGGTGAGAAGCAACCTAGATGTAGGAAAGCTAGTGGGTGTAGTGTACCTAGACTTTGCAAAGGCATTTGATACAGTACCGCATAAACGCTTAATGTACAAGCTACAATCCATGGGCATTGATCAAATGGTATGTAGATGGATAGAAAATGACTACAGGGATGTGTCCAGGAAGTATATATAAATGGATAATTTTCAAATTGGTCTAAGGTCAGGAGTGGCATGCCCCAGGGTTCTGTGTTAGGCCCAATATTATTAATGATATTGGGGGAGGTGTTAGCAGCCATATTTCTGTGTTTGCTGATTATACGAAAATTTTCAAGGTAGTATACTTGAGATTAGACATAACAACATTACAGGAGGTCCTGGATAAAATAGGGGATTGGACAATTACATGACAGATAAGGCTTAATGTTGAAAAATTTACAGTAGTGCATTTTGGTGTTAAAAATAGGCATGTAGATTACATGTTGATGGGAGTTCCACTGGGGACATCAGAAGTGGAAAAATATTTGGGGGTCATAAGTGACTGCAGACTAAACAATAGCATGCAATGCCAGGCTGCATCTAACAAAGCTAGCAGAGTATTTTCATGCTTAAAGGAGAACTATGAGATGAGTTCTAGCCGACCAGTGACAATGAGACTGTCACAGGTCGGCTCAGTAGATCGGGAGGTGAGCGAACACATAATAGGTTCGCTCACCTCTCGATCCTGTCACGGCTCTCTGCCGTGACAGGGGGAGGGGCTGGATTCCCCTCTCCCCGCTCCGATCTGCCAGCGCTGACTGGCGGAACGGACGGGGGAGGGTGCGGGTACAGCTGGCTCTGCCTCTAGATAGGCAGAGCCAGCTGTCACTCACGCAGCTGGGCGGATCCCGTCATCTACGTCGGGATCCGCTCCTGCGTCTCAGTATACCGCGAGCTGTAGCTCGCGGTATACTGAGCTTAGGGTAACGGGAGGACGCTAGTTTGTGTCCTCCCGTTACACTAAGGAGAACTATGGGGAAAAACACTGACCCCATAGTTCTCCTTTAAAAAAGGAATGTACTCTAGATACAAAGCCATAAGTTTGTCACTTCACAAAACACTGGTTTGGCCTCATCTTGAGTATGTGGTTCACTTTTGGCCACCAATCCACAGAAAGGATGTCCTTGAACTGGAGAAAGTTCAGAGAAGGACAACAAAATGAATGAAGGGACTGGGGGACCAAAGCTATGAGACAAGATTGTAAAATGTAAACTCGTTCACTCTAGAAATAAGGCGATTATGAGGGAACATGATTGTAATGTTCACATTGTTTATTGTTGCTGGTAATATCAGCAAAAAACATGTTTACTGTAAACTCAAAAAAGAAGACACGATACCACCACCTTAAACTGGAGTAAAAAAGGGGTTTAATCACAAGGGGAGTAGAGGTTTCTTTTCTGTTAGAGCAGTAAGGGTGTGGAACTCCTTTTCACAAGCTGTGGTATCAACAGAGCATATTGAATCATTCAAGAAAGGTTTAGATACTTTACAGGGAACATACAGGGATACAGGTACTCTTCATGACTAGTACACACAGACACTCACACACACACCCACACACACCCACACTAAGCTTGATGGACCTGTGTCTGTATTCAACCTCAAATGCTATGTAACTATGTAAGTAAACAACTCAGAAAAAAACTATTCTAAGGCGTAAGTACATTTTGATAGGCTTTTGCGTAGAAGGGACGAATGTTCGTTTACCTAATACATTTTTTAGATGCTTTAATAAACTATGAACTCAAACAGTAACCTATACCATTTAACTAAGACTTGCTTCTGTTGTCATACTTTTCTTTGCCCTAATGAGATATACTGTTCCCCACACATACACACCCATCACATTTTCTGAAAGCTTATCTTAACTCAAAAACAAAAATTTTATATATTGCAGTCCTTACCCGTCCTAAAAAGTGATGACTCTGCACTAGTTTTCTTTTTTTAAGGTTTTTTAAAATTTTATTTTCACCTGGTGATCCGGACAGTAACACACTTCGCATCCTAAGGGGACAGCATTCAAACACTGTATCTATGGAATCAATAGTGTCACCCTAGGAGAGGAATAGTGTTTGAAGTAAAGAACATCACCCCACCTCTAGATTTTTTCTGTAATTGCAGAAAATGTACTTAGCCTGAAAAAAAGAAAAATGTTGCAGACACCATATCTAAGGACTAGTAAGCTGCAATGCATTACTTTTTTATTCTTGATTTTAGATATACAGTTTATTTTATCACTTTGAAGTAAACTTTTATTTTTCCTTTGGAAAGCCTGTGATAAAAAGGGCTCTTCAGCCACCTGTTCTGGGATTTTGTATAGCTATAACTTACTGGTAATAGGCTATATTACATGCTTTCTGAAATTGTTAGAGTACTTAGTATTAACCAAGTACTTAAAAAGGAACTTCAAGTACTACGAAAGCCTAATCTTTTTTATCAGCAACACTTCAATATAGAATAATTTAACACAAGAGAATAATCTATGCTTCCCAACAAAGTTCAGAAACACTTGCATTTTTTGTGTACAGTAATTGCAGCACATCCTCTGGCTTGTGCAATGCTTACCTGAACTTCTGGGTGTGGAAATGTGCATTTATGATGTCACTTGAGACTACATGTCCCATCAGTCACTCACCCGCCTAATATATGCATTATGAGCATATTAATTTTACAATCTATTATTCAGAGGCTGAATCATGCAACGTATCTTAATAGCATCTTAGGTCTGTGACTGTCAGATATGCCTTTGAAGAGCATATGTAACAAAGCTTATAATAAACTATTTACTTATGATATTATTTGCTATTTTCTTTACAAAATATATCAATCATTTTAATGAGAGTACACATAATAGTTATTCTATGTGGTATAGTTTTTTATTCCAATATATTTGACAGGACAAAAGATAGCTTTTGAATTTGAAATAATGAAAGGTATTGTGCTTACATATTAAAGGCTTTTTTACTTGAAACAGAGTAAGTGCTGTTCTCCATTTGTGCTTAGCTTTATTTGCTCAATAAAGAAATAGATTGCTACTATTCATAGGGAAAGCAGAGTGTTACATTTATATTTTAAGTTATCTCAACTGGGTTATTGCAGATTCATAATACAATAGACAGGGGGCACTTGCTATGGGGTTTTAATATGTCCTTTGAGAAATACAATCTCAGTTCTACTTGCCCAGAAGAGAATGATGCTAAGAGTAAATGTGGAGCAGACAAAAGAATATTTCCATGTAGTGTATTGTTAGCACAGTGTCAATGCATTGGTAATCATGAGTGACATTTTCTTACCACTGTACAGATGGCCTAGGCGTGCCCATTACAGTACACGCTAGTGTGACAGACATCCTCTCCCACACACAATGTGCCCTGAGTGGGACCCAGAATATAGGTGCACGTCTTGCACACAGCTCTCTGAACTCTTTCATCTGTCTTGATTTTTCTTCAGCCTGCACACAGTAAACAAACATATGGTTATTGTCAAACATTACCTTACTCTACTCTGCACACAGCATAACCACAATGGAAAAAAAACATTTTTTTTCTCATGCATAGAAATATTTTTACAAGTTTCTAAATATAAGCCAACATAAAAGATAGCTTGGTGAACTCTAAAACTAGAAACTAGCGTGTGAAACAAAATGCTGAATAAGATGAACTCCTCTAAGCCCAGTTTATATCTAAAATGACCACAAAACATATCCAAGATGATTTCATAAAATGATGGCTGTTTTTTTATTGCCTCTTGCATTAATTCAAGTGTTTCATCCCCCTAACTTTAGGGGAAAGGTGCACACAATGTAATTCTATCTACTCTGTGCGGCCCCTCCTCTTCTAGGGTTGCCACCTGTACAGGATTCACCCGGACAGTTCGGGTTTTGAATGCTGTGTTCGGGTTTCATGGCAGCAGAAACCCGGACACATGATGTCAGGCAGACAGGGGCAACCAAAATTAATATAGGTAGCCCCCCACTAAAAATAGTCTCTACTGTGATATTTACATATGAATGGGTGGCACTTTTTACTTATGAACAAGCCACAACTCATTCTCCCACAAAAATGTCCGCGCGTCGCTGGAGTGTTCGGGTTTCGCTTGAAGAAAAGGTGGCAACCCTATCCTCTTCCTTTGTGTGCCATCCTTCCTAGCACATCATAGCTGAGTTATTTGAAACCAAGAAAAAGGAAACAGATCAGTTACTATGGTACAAGGGGAGCTTTTGTGTTGTGATCATGCATAGATTGTGATATAATCTTCAGGCATGCTGGTAAGTCCTCACAGAACAATAGGGCTCCAGACCTGTTGTTTATATGCAGTGGCTGGTCCACAAGAGATTAAGAGGCATCGGGATTTGAGTGCTTGTTCAAGCAGTATACTGAGACGCCGCAGTATAGAAACTTGCAAGTAAAGGTGGCCATATACTGATCTATTTTTCTCATTCAACCCGCAGGCTGAACAAGAAAAATAGAGCAGATTCCTCCATTAACACTTAGGAGTGTGTCGATCGAGGAATCCTGCTGTTTGCACTGTATTTTGACAGCAGATGCCGTCCGCAGTCAAAATCCCAGACGAGAGCGGGCAGTTTATTGGCTACCAGCTACTATCGTACAAAAAATGTCAGCTGATCGAGGGATGCCAACCGCAAGGATGCCAACAGCGGCACCCACTGTGCAAATTACGTCCGGTTCCTCAAAAAAACGGATGAAATTTGCACAGTGTATGGGCACCTTAAACCCACTTGCTCTGGTAAGACAGCTCTCAAACAAAAGGCCTCCTGTTATCTGGAAGCAACTCAAAATATAGAAATAATGGGTGCCAACCGAATGTTGGAAGAGTCCAAAGTTAATTACTTAATTAAGTACAATTAATTACTTATAACTTGATCACACAAAAACAGCCAACATGCTTCAGGTGCAACAACAATCCCCTCTTATCAGGGCTTAGAATGTGATAAGGGCTTGAATGGACTCAAAAGAGACAATAACCAAAATATATGTTTTGTTATTAACTCTCCTTTAGGACTGATATTGTAATTGTGTAATCAGCGTTAGCTTCAGCTTAGTAAAAGGGGATGGACACATGATTTTATTCAGCAGTTGATTTGAATATTAGCGATATTTCCTTTATAAGGACATGTTTATTGGATTTAATGATTTTAGACGCTTATTGTTTTAATATATCCTGCAATTTTTTGGACCACAGTTCTTCTGTAGAGGTAAACTAACCAGAGGTGGCATATTTCATATGTTCATCAGTAACATGCAAGTAGGACATTACAATTATTACACAGAAGAGTCACTACGACCTACCCTCCTGTATGAGGCTTTGCGATCAGCCCTTACACGTAATGCTCTGCAGGCCTGGAGCACCTTAACTTCCATCTTCTCCATATTATTCCTGAATCCAGCTTTTCTTTGCTCCCTGGTTTCCAACCACAAGTCTTTCACATCAAATTGTGGTATGCGATAACTGTAATGGTATTCATTATTGGTCAGTAGGTGTTGCAGGATAAAAACTGATTTCTGCTTTTGATGAAACACTGTCCTGTGCATCATGGCATTAAACATAATTAAAAAAGACAAAAAATAATGATATGGAAATGAAATCATAACAAAAATGATGGAATAAAAATCTAAAAAATGTATAGTATGATATGTACATTAAAAACATTTAATAATACACAACAAAAAGTACAGTTCCTCTTCTCTAAGTTTGTTGATATACAGTAAAACCAAATGTCAAAAACTGGGATATAAATAAAAGCCACAAGTTGGTGCAAAATCTGATCAGATCTGAAAGGTCTTGCCAAAACCCCTCAATGTGGGGGGAGCAATATTTATTCAAGAAGTATTAATGGCCTCCTAAATATAATGCAATAAAAGTGTATGTACAAATTATGCAGGACAGGGGACTACAGGTAGACTGTGGCAATGTGTTGTTATTGCACTGTAGGGTTTTCAGACCTACACTACCCATCATACATACACCTTAATGGCAGAAGTTTTTGTTAATTGGTTATTGACTACCTTTCATAACACCCAACATTGTAAGACTTTTAAATCAACCTCTACCTCAATCCAGCCAAACCATTCTCATATCAACCACAACAGGTCCAGACTTTACTGAGGCTTTGCTTATTTAACAAGCAACTCTCTAATTTGTCTGATTATTTAAACAGTTCAGCCAAAATCAGCAGTCAAGCATTCTTGTTTCAAAGATGTGATTATCCAGAAATGCTTTTGAACCTGTATAGTTGCCATTCCTGACCTGTTTTAAAAGGTTTAGGCTCCAGGTCTAAGGCACTGACAAGAAGCGTGTATGCAAAATGTCAATCACACTTTCTAGATTCACTGGCCGCATACATATTCCAGGTTAGTGAAGTAGTTAAGGAAGAAAGTATAGTAGACCTGGAGTAAACCATAGGTTTTAATAAGTATAAATAAACTGCTCAAAAAAATTAGAGGAACACTTTGAAAACACAACAGATCTCAATAGGGAAAATGATCATGCTGGATATCTACTGCATACTGGACTGGGTAATGTGTTGGAAACGAAAGGATGCCACATTGTTTGTGTGGAAATGAAAAATTATCAACCTACAGAGGGCTGAATTCAAAGACACCCTAAAATCAAAGTGAACAAATAATGCAGCAGGCTAGTCCATTGTGCTGAAATTTCATTGCAGCAACTCAAAATGGTACTCATTAGTTTTTATGGCCCTCACGTGCTTGTATGGATGCCTGATAAGGTCAGGGCATGCTCCCAATGAGACAACGGATGGTGTCCTGGGGTATCTCCTTCCAGATCTGGACCAGGGCATTACTGAGCTCCTGAACAGACAACCTGGTGGCGTCGGATGGACCGATACATAATGTCCCAGAGGCAGAGGCGGCTCTAGACTTTGTGAGGCCTTAGGCGAAATTAAAACGCGAGGCCCCACTTGCACTCATAATTAATTCTCTCTCTCTCTCTGCCACTGTGCCCACCACCATCTGTACCCACTGAGCCCCAGCTCTTTCTGCACTTGTGCCCACTTCTGTCTCACCTCAGCCTGTGTCCACTGCCCCGCTGCTCTCCCTCTGCCCACCTCTACTACTGAGGGGTCAGTGAAAACAGACTACCACTGTCTGTGTTCACTGACCCCTCAGATCTCCCCCTCCTCCCCTCTGGGTAAAGAGCTCACCTGGTCTCTTTTTTGTTTGTTCCTCTCGCCACTGACTTCAGTGCAGCAGCCCTCTGCTTTCCGGCCATGATTTGTTGGTGCAACGGTGCCCCCCACCCTCGGATAATGCAAGTGTCCCGTTATAGCTGCCTGTCCCCATGCTCAGCGGTGAGTCCTTTGGGACTCCTGCTTTGAGCGGAGTCCCAGCAGGAGGATGTGTAGAATGAAGTCCTGTATCTGAACTCGCAGACAAAGGTGTGTGTTTTCCGTCCCCTCACAGCACCAGTCCCTCTAGGTGAGTTAGGCAGCCGCGAGGCCCCCGCGAGCGCGAGGCCTTAGGCGACTGCCTAACTTGCCTAATTAGAGAGCCACCTCTGCCCAGAGGTGTTCTATTGGATTCAGGTCAGGCGAGGCCATTCAATTCCTTCATCCTCAAGGAACTTTATTTTTATTTATTATTACAGGTATTTATATAGCGCCAACAATTTACACAGCACTTTACATAGCTGCACATTCACATCAGTCCCTACTCTCAGGGAGCTTACAATCTAAGGTCCCTATCTCACATGCACACATAGAGGGCCAACTTAGAGAGTAGCTAATTAATCTACCAGCATGTCTTTGGTGTGTGGGAGGAAACTGGAGTAAACCGGAGGAAACCCATGCAAGCACATGGAGAACATGCAAACTCCTTGCAGATAGTGACCTGGCTGGGATTCAAACCGGGGACCCCCAGTTCTGCAAGGCAGAAGCACTAACCACTATGCCACTGTGCTGCCCAGAACTGGCTGCATACTCTTGCCACATAAGGCCGGGCAGTGTCATGCAACAGGAGGAACCCAGCATCCACTGCACCAGCATAGGGTCTGACAATGGGTCCAAGGATTTCATCCTGTTACCTAATGGCAGTCGGGGTGCCATTTACTAGCCTGTAAAGGTCTGTGCATCCCTCCATAGATATGCCTCCCCAGACCATCACTGACCCCCCACCAAACCGGTCAAGCTGAACGATGTTACAGGCAGCATAACATTCTCCACGGCTTCTCCAGGCCCTTTCACGTCTGTCACATGTGCTCAGGGTGAACCTGGTCTCATCTGTGAAAAGCACAGAGCGCCAGTGGCGGACCTGCCAATTCTGGTGTTCAATGGCAAATGCCAATCGACCTCCACAGTGCCGAGCAGTGAGCGTCCGGCCCTCAGGCCACCCTCATGAAGTCTGTTTCTGATTGTTTGGTCAGAGACATTCACACCAGTGGCCTGCTGGAGGTCATTTTGTAGGGCTTTGGCAGTGCTCATCCTGTTCCTCCTTGTACAAAGGGGCAGATATCGGTCCTGCTGATGGGTTAAGGACTTTCTAGGGCCCTGTCCAGCTCTCCTAGAGTAACTGCCTGTGTCTTGGAATCTTCTCCATGCTCTTGAGACTGTGTCGGGAGACATAGCAAACCTTCTGGCAATGGCACGTATTGATGTGCCATCCTGAAGGAGTTGGCATGCCTGTGCAACCTTTATAGGGTCCAGGTATCACCTCATGCTACCAGTATTGACACTGCCAAATGCAAAACTAGTGAAAAGAGTCAGAAAAGATGAGTAGGGAAAAAAATGTCAGTAGCCTCCACCTGTAAAACCATTCCTGTTTTGGAGGTCGTCTCATTGTTGCCCATCTAGTGCACCTGTTGTTAATTTAATTAACACCAGAGCAGCTTAAACTGATTAACAACCCCCCAGGAGTTTCATTGACTTGATGCTATACTCAGATTTAAAAGTGTTCCTTTCATTTTTTTGAGCAGTGTAGTTTATACCATTTGAAACCATCCAATGACTGCATAACTATTCTACACATTAAATATACATAACTAATTGCGTGTGTTCATTCTAATATCAGACATAATTGTGCAGCCATTTTTTCATGACAGATTTTACGACAGATTTTGGGAGTTCTAAATTTTTTAAGCAAACTATATTAGGCAATGCAATAATAAAGCAAGCATACCAAATCTAGATAATAGAATGAATATGATATTTTCCATCAAATAGAAATTTTTCAATAAACCTTGCAGTCAGGTTTAATGATTTGCTTGACTGTCAATTGTGAACTAGCACTAAAAAAAAATAAAAAAATAAAAAAAAATTCACAAAATTGTTATTTTCCAGAAACAGCTTAAATCACCAGATTTGTATACCTTTCATGATTAAATTTGCTCACCTCATTTCCTGAAAACAACAGTCCAGCATATTGTTTTTTATTTTTGGAGCAAGCAAAGCAACCTTGTGTTTACTTACAATGTGGACCTCAAGGTTTGTTCTGCTCTGGCTATTGAAAGATCAAGAGATGAAACTGGAATATCCGCATACTCTTCCGTGCTGAAACATGCAACAGAAAAAAAATAGCACCAAGTATTCTTTTGTTCTTATCATGATTTAGTACAATAGATTACTTACAGACATATAAATAACCTTTTGAAACCAATAATACAATACACAACTGTGCCTTTGAAAATATTACAGCTTTATTTGTTAAGGTGCCCATACACTGCTCGATTCTCGTACGAGAATCGCGGGAAATCCCGCGATCGTACGAGAATCGAGCAGTGTGAACGAAGACGTGCGACTGTTTCTACTGTACGGTCACACGTCTTTTGTCTAAGGAGCACGCTGGAAAACCAGCCGAAAATCATACGATTTTCGGCTGGTTTGAACGGTGCTCGGGAGACAAATGCCGAACTGGCCGTTGTGCGCACGCGCACACTGCCCGTTCAGCATTGCGGTCATCGGAAGCCCACCCCTCAGGTGGGCGGGCTTGCGATGATCGAGAGTACGATCTGCCTGTCCAAGATGGGCAGATCGTACGTTTTTAAAATCACTTTACAACCATCACAAGACTGAGGTCTTGCGATGGTTGTACAGTGTATGGCCACCTTTACTCTTGCCTAGATGGGTGTTAAAAGGGAGTAAAGGGCATGGAGGTCTAACACCTGCCAAATGTCTGGCCACTGATGTCTGTTCCTTTCCCCCAAGTCTGCAGTATGTTCTTGTTTAAAAAGCTACCTGTTTGAACAAAATGTTTATTTATGGATTCAAAATCAACGTGCCCCTGTAAATAAAACATACTCACCCTCCTTGCTGTCATCGATCTCTACAGTAATAAAGAAAACCTCCAGCTAAAAAAATCCAACAATTCCGGGTGTGTCAATGTTTTTGAAATATTCTTTTGTTAAGCCTATCTTCCAGCCATATTTAGCTTTGGATAAACATTGGTAAATACTGCTGGTAAATATGTATTGCTGCCCATTAACCTGTTGGGGAGATTTCACTTAACTTTCTGTCCCAGTGACAGCAAGACAAGAGATGGTAGAGTAGTTGTCACTGGGTCAAAAGTCACAGGTAGCAATAAAAACATTGGCCATTTGGTCCATCCCTTCCCGATTTTACTGAAAAATTTTGTTTTTTGTGGGTTTGTGTCCCCAATGGAGAGATTTCTCCTCTATCCATCTCCTGGAGTTGGACTGGAATAAACAGCAACAGATATGAGGGAGTAGTAACATTGTTCAGAAACTCACTTGTGGCGGATGGCAGTGGACAATATACCATAGACCACTGTGAGCTCCTGAAGGCTGTCCAGCCACAAATAGTATTGTTCAATCAGAGCAGCAACAATCACTACAGCATTTACACACCTTATACTTAGCCCCTAATAATTTTCTGGGTCAGTAGTGCTGTTATTTAAAAACATTAATGGTTAGTGGATATTATTTTTCCAATCTTGAATCTAAAATGTCATGCCTAATATGTCAGCCTTTTTATTCATGGTCAGGTCATGTTTAATGACCGAGTGATTGTTACTTCCTTTTGCCCAGGGATACAGTAGGTTTACACTAGTGGGAAAAGTACTCCCATGTTCAGGAATAGTGTGTCACAGCACCCATCATGAAATAATTGTTGTCTGTGATAAACACCTGTTCACACTCATTTGCACTTTTCAGAATGGTATAACATTGCCAGGAGCTAGCTCAGCTATCATGGCCACACTTGTGTACCTAATAGGGCACCTACAGGCAATGCAAGCTAGATTATTATTACCGGTAAGCTAGCCATACAGAGCTCAAAATTTGAGCCATTGGTGGCCCAGCTGGCACTACCTGACTGTTGGAAGCTAAAATAATTGACATCTATGATACATCTTTGATAGAAAGGTTCCTTAATATCGTGAGCTGCCCGTGCTGTTTGATATGCAAATGAAGACCATCAAAGGGTTCTTGGGGCTGGACACTGATCAAAGGAGATCTGCTGGACTGTCATGTCCTGGGGCAAGCCCGACCCCCTGCTGGTATTTACTGCCCTCACCTGTGTCAGCAAGGCATATATGCTGGAATGGGGGCAGGGGCATATGATGGAACCTTCTTCCTGTGTGACACTAACCTAGCTGACAAGCAAGACCTTTGGACAAGGCAAGTCTTTCTGAACTCTGCAATCAAGAATGTGATTCGCTGAGACCTGCTGGAGAGGCGTGTCCGAAGAACAAAAGTTAGAACAGAGAAAAACCCATGGCTTGTGTGAGAGAGAGAGAGAGAATGGTGTAGCTAGCTGTAGGATCCTTAACCTCAATTCCTATCCCCAATTCCCCTTTCAAATTCCCTTAATTGTAATATGTATGTATATCCCTATTTGTAAAAAAACCCGACACTTATTTAAGATTCAGTGGTTCATCAGTAATTTAAGGGCACCCCCAAATCAGAGCACATTCTACACTGACTCAACAAACTCAAAGGAGTCGGGCAGATAAAAGTTGGCTGAACAGTTACTACAGCCAGTCAACTGCAGTCACTACTCAGGTTTTTTGACCGCTTCGGGTGCCAGCTGTCAAAATACAATAGCTTTGTACAAATATTTTTAAGTGTGGAAAGAAAGCATGTTGTTATTCTGTTGGTGTTTTCTTATTCAACACGTAAGTGATGTGAACATCTGTGATCTGGCTAACGGGTATGCAGTAGGAGTTGAAGTGCCACACTATGTGAAGTAGTCCAGATACAACTTTATTCCATTAGGGTCAGTGGACATACATGTAGAGAAGCCAACGCATTTCAGGAGTCCAAAACACACTGCCTTCATACGGGCTAATAGGCGAAATCATTATGTGGGTTACAATCCCTGCAGCTTGAAAGTTGTATTGAGATGTGATAGGAGTATTTTAGGCTTGTTAGCAGCTGGTTTGGCAGCAAGAATAAAATAGCTAGAGGCGGCTCTTTAATTAGGCAAATTAGGTCGCCTAGTTTGCCCTGTCAGAACGGCAGCCAGGTAGCGTTGAGAGCTCTCATCCCTGTAGCTGTCAAACTGAGACTCTCAGTTTGACAGTGACAGGGCTGAGAGCTCATCCCGTTACGTAATCGTTGGTGCGGACCATCGGCTCGGTCTTCTGCACGGAGCTCCGCCCACCAGCCAATGAGAAGAGACCTCACCCCTCCCATCCCCCACACGAGGATCTCTGGCTGGGAGGGCGGAGTTTAACTGCAGAAGCTGATGGAGACGCCCACAAGACACGGCCAGCACAGCACACACAGTACTGGAGTGGCAGCCTGGAGAGCCTTGTGGAAAGCAGGTGAGAGCCCTGTGAAGAGCCCTGCTCTTTGGTATCTCGCCCTGATGAGACCCCACAGAACCCTGCTACCCTGGTGAGGCCCCCTCAGATGGGGTCTCATCAGGGCACTAAAGGGGTCTCATCAGGGCACTAAAGGGGTCTCATCAGGGCACTAAAGGGGTCTCATCAGGGCACTAAAGGGGTCTCACCAGGGCTCTGCGGGACTAACAACCCTGGTTAGACCCCACAGAACCCTGCTACCCTGGTGAGGCCCCCTCAGAGCCCTGGTTTAACCAGGGCTTTGTGGGTTCTCACCAGGGCTCTGAAGGGGTCTAACCAGGCTGTTGAGACCCTACAGAGCACCGGCGAGACCCTAGGGAGCCCTGGTGCTGGTGAGACACTATCTCGCCCTGGTGAGACCAGACAGAGCCCTGGTGAGAGCCCTCAGTGCCCTGGTTTAACCAGTAGGGACTCACCTGGGCTGTGTAGGGTCTCACGAGCACCAGGGCTATGTGGGGGTCTCACCAGGGCCCTGAAGGGGTCTAACCAGGCTGGTGAGACCCCACAGTGCCCTGGTTAAACCAGGGCACTGAGGGCTCTCACCAGGGCTCTGAAGGGGTCTAACCAGGCTGTTGAGACCCTACAGAGCCCTGGCAAAACTCTACAGATCCCTGATGAGACCCAGCAGAGCCCTGATTTAATGAGGGCTCTTTGGGGTCTCACGGGGCTCTGTGGGGGGCTAACCAGGCTGGTGAGACCCCACAGAGCCCTGGTTTAACCAGGGCACTGTGGGGTCTCACCAGGCATCTGAGGGGTCCAACCAGGGTGGCGAGAGCATACATAGCCCTGCCGAGACCCTACAGAGCCCTGGCAAAACTCTACAGATCCCTGATGAGACCCAGCAGAGCCCTGATTTAATGAGGGCTCTTTGGGGTCTCACGGGGCTCTGTGGGGTCTAACCAGGCTGGTGAGATCCCACATAGCCCTGGTGCTGGTGAGACCATACACAGCCCAGGTGAGACCCTACAGGTTTAACCAGGGCTCTGTGGGGTCTTACCAGAGCTCTGTGAGGTCTGCCCGGGGCTCTGTGGGTCTAACAAGGCTGGTTAGACTCCCCAGAACCTTGGTGAGGCTCCACAGAGCCCTGATGCTCTAGTGAGACCCCAAAGAGCCCTGGTGAGACCGTAGAGAGCTTTACAGAGCCCTGGTGCTGGTGGGACCCTACAGAGTCCTGGTGAGACCCTGCGGAGCACTGGTTTTACCAGTGCTTCTTGAAGTCTCACTAGGGCTCTTTGGGGTCTCACCAGGGCTCTGAGGGGTCTAACCAGGCTGGTGATGAAACCCTACAGAGCCCTGGTGCTGGTGAGACCCTACAGAGCCCTGGTTTAACCGGGCCTGTGTGGGGTCTCACCAGGGCACTTTAGGGTCTCACCAGCCCTTTTTTAACCCAACAGAACCATGTTGGGACCCTACCCTGGTGGGCTCTTTGGGATTTTACCACGGCTCTGTGGGGTTTCACCAAGACTGGTGAGACCCCCACAGAGCCCTGCTGAGACCCCCACCGAGCCCTGCTGAGACCCCCACAGAGCCCTAGTTTAACCAGGGCTCTTTGGGGTCTCACCAGTGCACTGAGGGGTCTAACCAGACTGGTGAAACCGCACAGAGCCCTGGTAAAACCCTACAGAGCCCTAATTTATTCAGGGCTCTGTGGGGTCTCACCAGGGCTCTGCGGGGTCTCACCAGCCTGGTTAAACCCCACAGATCCCTGGTAAGACCCCACAGGCCTGAG